CTTTGACCGTTGATTGCGCAAATGGTGTTGGCGGACCTAAGCTGAGAGAGCTCCTTAAGTACCTTCCTGGCCCGGAGGAGGGTGGTATCGATATCAAGGTTATCAATGACGATGTGATCAACCCGGATAGCCTCAACTTCGATGTATGACCTTAGTTTTATTGGTCCTACCGTATCCATACTAACCTATTTACTAGTGCGGTGCCGATTATGTCAAGACCAAGCAGCGCGCTCCCCCCTCGTCCAAGGCCGCTGCCCTTGACCGTTGTGCCTCCCTGGACGGCGATGCCGATCGTCTTGTTTACTATTTCGTCGACGAGAGCAATGTTTTCCGTCTTCTTGACGGCGACCGTATTGCCACTCTTGCCGCTGCCTTCATTGGTGACCTTACCAAGAATGCCGGCATCGCGCAGAAGCTCAAGATTGGCATCATTCAGACTGCGTATGCCAACGGAGCTAGTACGGAGTACATTGAAAAAGTGCTCAAGCTTCCCTCCGTCTGCACTAACACTGGCGTGAAGCACCTTCACCATGCTGCCCTGCGCTACGATGTTGGTGTCTACTTCGAAGCGAATGGTCACGGTACTATTACCTTCTCTGAAAATGCCTTGAAGATTATCAAGAGCACTGAGCCCCAGTCTCCCGCTCAGCAGCGTGCTCTTGAGTGCCTCCAGGGCCTCACCGATCTGATCAACCAAGCAGTCGGCGATGCTATCTCTGATATGCTCCTCGTTGAAGCGATCCTTGCTCATAAGGGTTGGACCCCCAAGGAGTGGCTTAGCACCTACACCGACCTCCCTTCCCGGCTGGTCCGTGTGGAGGTTGCTGACCGCTCAATCTTCAAGGCTTATGATGCTGAGCGTAAGCTCGAGTCCCCTGCTGGCCTCCAGGTCAAGATCGAATCCCTTCAGTCCCGCTACAACAAGGGAAGAAGCTTTGCCCGCGCCAGTGGCACGGAAGATGCGGTGCGTGTCTACGCCGAGGCCGCCAGCCGCTCGGAGGCTGACGATCTCGCTACTCGCGTCGCCAACGCTGTCCGTGAGGCTGGCGCCGCCAAAGAGATCTTGCAGTCTTAGGTTTTGGAATATCTAATGCCCTAACAAATTCTAAGTGGTTCCATGGAACCGTATGATTGGAAGCTATCTGATAACTTGCAAGGGTACCTTGCACATGCATGTATGAAGCTTTGGGTCATCATGGTCAGACGATCACAAGTCACAGGGTTAACGGCGTTGCGCAGACTTCGCAACGTCGTCGCATTATAGAGGTAATGGGAACTGTTATGAACGATCTGATGAGTTTTCTTTTGATGTGAATGCAGAGCAAATCTGACTCGATTTAGCCATTCCTTATAAGTATTTTTAAATTGACTAGAAGTTAGGAAGACCTAGTAGCTAATTGGAACAAGGCCTACGGTCACCATGACAAGTAATCTACTTAGCAAACTCAGTACAAGGACCAAAAACTTCTTTATAAACTTCATTTGGGTATTCGTTAGCAATAATCTAAATCTACATTTTACTTTTACTTTTCTCCCACTAGCCCTCTTCCTGATCCATATCCTCTCGGGACCGCTTTCCTTTGGCGAACTTCTTGCCCCTACTTCCCTTCTTCTCGTCGTAGTTTTTCATTTCCAAGATAGCACTGCGTTGCGCTTCGGATACACGCTCTGCAAGGACCATCACCTCGTCCTTCGCAGCGGGGTATTCAGGGAGCTTCTTTCCCAGCGCGCCCTCAATACGAAGCCAAGCCTCGACATCATATTGCGTAGCGAAGCTAATAGCCACACCCGACTTACCAGCACGGGCTGTACGACCAATTCTGTGAATAAAAGTTTTCCTAACCCCCCATTAGCATCATATCTTCCCCACATAAACCCCAAAGGGAAGAGCAACTTACGAATCACCAGGCAAATCAAAGTTCAAAACCACATCGACAGAGGGAATATCAAGACCACGAGCGGCCACATCGGTCGCCACCAGGATATCCCTACTCCTCGAACGGAACTTGCCGAGGGCACCCAAACGAGCCGACTGCGAAAGCTGGCCATGCAGCGGGATGGCGCCAAACCCGAGCAATCTCAGAAAGAAGCTGAGACGCTGAGTCTCGTGGACGGTGCGACAGAAGATGATGCACGATTGGCCGACGAACTCGTTCAGCAGGTAGACCAGGTACAGGTCCTTGTGTTTGTGGGGGATGAAGACGTAGGATTGTTGGAGGGTGGACACGGTTTGGAATTTCGATGAGGAGACGGCGACACGGAGCGGGTTTTGGAGAGATGCTCGCTGCAGAGACTCGACCTTGGAGCTCATGGTTGCGGAGAAGAGGTAGGTGCGGCGCTCGCGGGGGAGCACTTTCAGGATCTTGTCGAGGATGGGGCCGAAGTCCATGTCGAGGAGACGGTCGGCTTCGTCCATGACGAGGTATTTGAGGTTGCGGAGCGAGAAGCCTTTGGTGTTTTCGAGGTGGTCGAGCAGACGGCCGGGCGTGGCTACGATGATGTGAGGCTGGGGGGTTTGTTAGATTCTGCTCGGTTTTGTCTAATTCGAGGTTGGTTGGGCGGTTTACCTTCTTTCCTAGTGCGATCGATTGTGATACCATATCCATGCCTCCAACCAGGACTGTGCTTCTCACTGAGATTGTGCTTCCTAGACCCTCGAAGGCTGTGGAGATCTGGTATGCCAGTTCACGGGTGGGCGCGAGGACGAGGCCAAAAAAGGAAGAAGGTTTGTCCATCAGGGCTTGGAGGATGGGCAGTGCAAAAGCTGCGGTTTTACCGCTACCGGTTTCTAGCATGAGTGTTAATGAAAGTACTGCAATAACATGGAACATGAAGGTGGTACTATACCAGCCAAACCGATCAAATCGCGGCCCTGGAGAGCGAGGGGAATGGCCTCCGCTTGAATTGCGGTGGGAGCCTTGTACCCCATGGAATCGCAGGCCTCGCATAATTGCTCAATGAGACCCAGTTCCTTAAAAGACTTTGGCGCCTGCTTAGGCGCTTCAGGTGTTTCTTGTTCTTGCTCAGTAGTATCGGGGGCGGCATCCTCAGAGGCAGAGCTGTGGGCATCACTATCGCTATGGTCTTCTTGTTGGGGCGCCTCACGGGAGATCTTGCGCTTCTTAATGGCCGGCATATTGAATCAATATCTGACTCGAAAGGTTTGCACTCGGTGAACTGATCGAACGATTTCTTTTTCTTGATAGTTCGATATCAAAAAATCAGTGTGGGTCCCGGTAAAACAGTTGGTCCGGAAATGCTCCGCGGCTTGGTTTCCGCCGATCTACTTTTTTGGGCCAAGAAAAAAAAGTCCGTCGTTCTCGAGACGTTGAATAGCATTTCCCTTGCACCACATACCTACCATATATTTCCTGCTTTGTCAGATTCACAATGGCAAAGGCACGTACGAAGAAGCGCACTCATGTCCGCGCCCAAAATGCCTCAGCCGCTGCTGCCAAAGGCAGCAGCTCGAACATGAGCAAAACTCCGAAGTCGATGGTTATCCGTATCGGCGGGTCTCAAGTCGGTGCGAGTGTCAGTCAATTAGTGAAGGATGTTCGTTTGATGATGGAGCCCGACACTGCTGTGCGACTGAAGGTATGATATTGTGAACTCCCAATGCGCCTCTGAAAAAGAAACTAACGCTGATATCATCTAGGAACGCAAATCAAACAGACTGAGGGATTACACCGTCATGGCGGGTCCTCTCGGTGTCACGCATCTTATGCTTTTCTCCAAGTCCGCTACCGGCAACACTAACATGCGCCTGGCGCTGACGCCGCGCGGCCCAACACTCCACTTCAAAGTCGAGAACTACTCTCTGTGTCGAGACGTCGAGAGAGCATTGAAGCGTCCGCGAGGCGGCGGCCAGGACCACAAGACACCGCCCTTGCTGGTGATGAACAACTTCAACTCGCCGAATGCAAGCGAGGACGGCAAAGTCCCAAAGCGCCTCGAGACTCTCACAACCACTATCTTCCAATCCCTTTTCCCGCCGATCAACCCCCAAGCTACCCCTCTCTCCTCTATCCGCCGTGTGATGCTCCTCAACCGAGAACTCAGATCCGATGGCCAAGAAGATGACTCTTACGTCTTGAATTTGCGACACTACGCTATTACCACCCGGAAGACCGGCGTTTCAAAACGCATTCGCCGTCTGGATCCCAAGGAAGTCCGTAATAGGGAGAAGCGGGGCGTTGCTGTTCCCAATCTAGGAAAGTTGGAAGATGCTGCGGATTATCTGTTGGATCCGTCGGCTGGGGGCTATACCTCCGCTAGTGAAACCGAACTAGACACCGATAATGAGGTTGAGATCGCCGAGAGCACAACGAAGAAGGTTCTGAACAAGAGGGAGCTGCAACGCATGAAGGCTGGGGAGAAGGAGAAGGCTGAGAAGAAATTGAAGGCCGCGCCGGAGGTGGAGAAGCGCGCGGTCAAGCTGGTCGAGTTGGGCCCCCGCTTGAAGCTCCGACTGATTAAGGTTGAGGAGGGTCTCTGCGAAGGCAAGGTCATGTGGCACGACTACATCCATAAGTCCGAGGAGGATATGAAGAAGCTGGACAAGAACTGGGACAAGAGAAAGAAGGAGAAGGAAGAGCGGAAGAGGCAGCAGAAGGAGAACATCGAGAAGAAGAAGGCAGAGAAGGCCAAGGCCCGGGCTGAAGGCAAGGAAGTTGAAGATGATGACGACGAGGAGATGGAGGTGGATGATGACGAGGATGACTGGCTCAGCGATGACTTCGATGAAGAGGGTGCGGAGCAAGAAGGGGAGGATGAGGACGAATCCATGGAGGAATAGAGCGAGCGTCACTCTCGGTTTCTGAATTTCTTTCACGAAAAGCGACTTCTCGCGCTATATCATGTCCCCAGGCACGAGAACCTATACGGAGGCCCCCAGACCCGCCTTCGCTGCTGTCTTCCGGTGTCGTTCATGCACGGCAACCACATCCACTTGGCTGGAGTAACGACAGATAGAATCGCCCTGGCTTTCGGCTTTGCTACAAAAGACTCCAAGCATCTTAAACAGGTATCTCACGGAGACTGGGGTCGGAGGGTGTTATAAATAGACTATCATTTAGGTGACCAGATTATACCCTTTGTTGAAAAGCAATAAAAAGTAATTGGCATTTCAATCGACAACACAATAGTAGTTAGTAAAGCAATCTATACATCACGATCATAACCTCATATACTCGACCATGCCTCATTTCTTCAACTTCTCCTCCACAATTCTGGACACCATCTTCTCCAGAATCGCAAAATCCCCGCCCCCAACCCCGGCAAAGTAACTCTGCACACTCTTCTCCACATACTTCCCAACAATATCAATCTCCACATTCACATCCTCCCCGACCTTCTTCGAAGCCGTCACAATCTTCTCCTGCGTATACGCAATAAGCATAATCTCAAAATACCCCTCCTCGCCATCGACCACCTTGGTCACCGTCAAACTGGCCCCATCCAGCGTAACATAGCCCTTCTCCACAATATACCGCAAGACGCCCCGGTCACGCGGCTGCAGCCGCAACACCAGCGCATTACTGTCGGGCGTGACAGAGAGAATGGTCGCGATGGTATCGACGTGGCCCTGGACGAAATGGCCGCCCATGCGGGTTTCGCTGAGGACCGCGCGCTCGAGGTTCACCCGGGAGTTGGTGCTCAGGGAGCCTAGGTTCGTGCGACGCAGGGTTTCGGGGGCCACGCCGACCTTGAACCAGGTTTTGTCGAAGGCGGTTACTGTTAGACAGGTTCCTGTTTGTTCGTTTGGTTAGTGGTGACTCAGTGGGGGGGTGGGATGTCCGATGCGGGGGGAGTGGTCAATGGGGGTAAGTGGGATCTGTGTGTATATGTGCAGGACAGCGTACCGTTTACTGCGATGCTGTCGCCGAGATGGGCGTCGGTGAGGATCTCTTCGCAGTTGGTGATGGTCAAGGACGTACCCCCGCCCCCGCTGGCGGAGGTGTCGAGAGGCTCGAGGGACGAGACCGCTGGGAGATGTCAGTTGCGAGAGGACGGTGGGTTGATTGTAGGGGTGTACTCACTCCCGATTGTTTCGACAAGACCGGTAAACATGGTGTGATGTGTGTAGTAAGGTGTAGCTGTCAATGCACTTCGCGGCAGTGGAAGCGGAAGAGAGCGGGAGATCAGAGCTATACGTAGGTTAAACAAATGTTGTAGCCCGCCCCGCCGCACTGGAGCGATCAATTACCTAAGGAAAAGAGTCTGGAATTACATTCAAATTAGAATGAGTGTTGATGTCCTTCCAGTCTCCTTCTACTCTAAAAAAACCAAAAAATACACCGAAAAACAATCGAATAGCACCCACGTTTCTCCTGCTCGGCGCTAAGGCGGAAATGCATGCTTAATCGACCTCGGCTTTTGGCGTCCAAGTTAAGCTATCGGCGAAGTACCCGAATGAAATGACAGGAACATAAAATCAATCTATCGCGCTCCGGTCGCGGCCCCGAAAAGTACATGATATACATGCGTGACGACCCCAACTGTACATGACTTGGATCTGATTCACTTTATTTTTCTTCTTGCAATCCCCATGTACCGCGTCAATTGAACGACAATGAGCGTCACATTGAAGTTGCACCAGACTGTTATCGCCCGCCGGCCAGGTCTCCGCTGGTCGAGCTTTGTTCTCCGCCGCAGCGCAGCTCCATGGCGTACATACTCCAGTACCCCGGCAGACGACACGCTGCCCTTGAAGGGCGTTCGCGTGCTTGATATGACAAGGGTTTTGGCTGGTGTGCGTATTTCGGATCCTGGTTCTCTATATTATTTCTATATTATTGTTGGGGCACTGGTGCTGACCATGATATAGCCATACTGTACGCAGATTCTTGGAGATTTAGGGTATGTGTGTGATTGTTACCGGTGTTGACTTCAGTTCAGGTGGGTAATGGCTGACTGGACGCCCCGGAATAGAGCAGATGTTATTAAGATTGAACACCCGGTGCGGGGCGATGATACTCGCGCCTGGGGTCCGCCATACGCCAAATACCAGGATGAGTCGCGACAAGGCCCCGGCGAAAGCGCATATTATCTAGGTGTAAGGTCCATCGCCCGTCTCCAGATCCTGTACCCTGTTGACATGGACCGGAGAGCAGGTCAACCGCAACAAGAAGTCTTTAGGACTGTCGTTTCAACACAAGTCAGGCGTGGAGATCCTGCATCGTCTTGCGAAAGAATGCGACGTGCTCGTTGAGAACTACCTCCCCGGAAGTCTGAAGAAATATAACATGGACTACGAAACTCTGCGAGAGATTAACCCTAAGCTGATCTACGCGAGTATCACCGGATACGGGCAGACGGGGCCGTACAGTAACCGGGCTGGATACGATGTCATGGTCGAGGCGGAGATGGGCTTGATGCATATCACTGGGGCCAGGGATGGGGATCCGGTGAAGGTTGGCGTGGCGGTTACGGATCTGACGACTGGGTTGTACACATCTAACGCAATCATGGCGGCGCTGCTGGCTCGCATGAGGACGGGTAAGGGCCAACATATCGATGCTTGCCTGAGCGATTGTCAGGTGGCAACCCTGGCGAATATTGCTAGCTCGGCGTTGATCAGTGGGGAGAAGGATACTGGGAGATGGGGCACCGCGCATCGTGAGTACTGAAGTGTTGAGAGAAAGAGTTGCGAATTCTGACGGCTCTCCAGCTTCCATTGTTCCTTACCGGAGTTATCAGACGCTGGATGGAGACATTCTCTTCGGGGGCGGGAACGACAGACTGTTCGGTGTGTTGTGCGACCGTCTAGGACATCCCGAGTGGAAGACCGATCCCCGGTTTGTAACCAACAGTGACCGTGTCAAGCACCGAGGGGAGATCGACGGCCTCATCGAAGAGAAGGTCAAACAAAAGACCACACAAGAATGGCTGGAGATCTTAGAAGGCAGCGGGATGCCATATGCCGCCGTCAACGATATTCAAGGAACCCTCAACCATTCTCACGGTACGTTCCCATCCACATGACATATTGTCACAGCTGTTACTAAGATCGATGGTACAGTCCAAGCGCGTGGGATGGTTACCGAAGTCGATCATCCAGCATGTGGTCCCATCAAGCTCGTCAACACCCCGATTAAGTATTCCCATGCCACTCCTGGCGTGCGGACGCCGCCCCCAACCCTTGGCCAGCACACGGATGAGATTCTCGGGGAGATTCTCGAATATGGTAAGGATGATATTGCTCGGTTGAAGCAAGATGGTGTAGTGTCATAAAGAGGCGACTGGTTGGCCATCGGCTAGACGTTAAGAGCCGTGATATGCATCGAACACGCGAGTAGCATGTGCAAGGGCTTCACTGCAGCGGTGAGGCCTGCAGAGCTCTGGCACCCGTAGCACCTTTTGTACATAGAGATCGCAACGAGTGAATGAAACGGCCTGCCTGAAAGCATGCTCGACACGCATTCTTGAAGGGATGAATCTCGCTTTCCAGGCGGGGGGTCGCGTCACGTGACGGTATATAAGTTTCAATCTTTGGGTCCGTCGCAGCGCGAATTCTGCGCCGGTTAGGATAATCGATACTCAGAATTCGTGTGGTTAGACCCATTCACCCCGAAAGTCCACGGTGTAATTGTGTCCCACTAGCCAGGGCAGGGGGGCTAATGTCACAGCAACATGGGGTTCTTCCCACGCCGGCGTCTATAGAGCCAGCGCCACCAGCCCACGGAACCTCCTCGGGCTTGCAGACATCGGCTCCCACCCTCGAGCGGGTCTCGCCTTCCCTGTCGCCCTCATTGAAACCTAGCCGCCCACCGAGCGCAATCTCGAGTAAAGTACATATCCCGAAACTGTCTCCCGCGACCACAGAACTTGTGGCTCGGGTCACTGGCCATCGGAAAGGCGAGACGCAGAGGAATGGGACCAAGTTCGTGACGTGGAACCCTCCATCCCTCCATCCAGGCTGGAGTCATCCACGCATCCAACCATCAGGCACCATGAAGGCCTCTTCTACCATCATAGAGCTACCAACCGCTCCGTTCGTGTACTCGAGTCATATGACAACCCCTGCGGTTTCTCAACAGGCTCCTGTTACTGCTCCTCCCACTACATCTCCATCTACACATACATATACACCTCCACTTCCCCAGGGTAGCCATGACAAGCCAACAAGGCTTGTCAACATAGCACCCAAACCCGCCGGGCCGCCTTCAATAGGAGCCCCAGCACCACCGCAAGATTCACTGCCACCACCACTGCCTTCACACCCCCAGCCTATAGCCCCGGCGGCTAAAGATTCACCCCCATCCGCTAAGCGCAAGAGAGCAGCCGTTGGCCCACGCCAACGAAGGAGTACCACCAATGGCACCAAGCGCAAGAAGCGCCGGCGTGGCAACGACAGTGATGGAGAAGACATCATCCGAGCGGGAGACTCGAGCTCCGATGAATCTGACGTTGCGCCGACGGCGACACAAACTAAGTCTGGCCGGCAGGTCAATCGTCCTTCTTTATATGTACCTCCGTCCGCATCCCCAACGGTTGCCAAGGACAGCAGTAACTCGCTGGATACATCGGATAACACTCAACGGCAGGTCGCAGCCGCCCGGAAACGTAAGCGGGTGTATCGCAAGCCGAAGGACGGCATCATCAGTTGTATCCACTGTCAGAGGGGACATAGCCCGCAGAGCAACGCTATTGTCTTCTGCTATGAGTGCCACGCGCCCTGGCATCAGCTGTGCCATGATCCTCCTATTGAGCCGCAGGTGGACACGGTCGCCATGAAGCAAAGACCATGGGTCTGTCGGGAATGCAAGCCCGTGCCGATCACCATCATGCAGCCGACGGTTGTCAGGAGCAATCCTAGCCTCACGGGCCCGTCGTTCGGCCCTCCCGTGCATGCACCACTAATACTGCCCAAGACGGAAGTAGGAGGGGAGGGCTTCTCGGCAGATGAGCGCCGGGGCTTTCTATCCGGCCTGTCGCATGCGACTCTTGTCGAACTGCTGGTCACTTTATCAGACCAGCACCCGGCAGTACCCATGTTTCCTAAGAACCTAAAGACTCTGCAGTCGAAATTCTCGTTCAAGCCAAACACTTTGGCAGTGCCTACTCCATCCTCAACATCCTCGAATACCCCCACGATCACTAACTCGATAAACCACGCTCTAACTAATGGTGTAGACATGGCCCAGCACAAGTCAGGCGTCACTCCCGAGTTCCTGCCAACTCCCTCTTCAGCCCACCAAACACAGCACGACCTGTCCGAAGAATCCGAGTATGAATTCTCAGAGCATCGCCTGTACCCGCGTGCCGGGAACGGATTCCGTCTGTCGACGAAAGCCGACGACGTGGATATCATGTGGGAAGACGTCTCATGTCGCACGTTCAGCTACGCATTACACGGGCCGGCACGGGCTCGAGCGCAGGCGAACGAAGTCGCGCCTATCTGGGGTTCGTGATTGTTTCTTGGGTTCTTTCGTCCATCTTACCTTCGGGTGTATAGTATCGTGATTGTGCTCCTAGTTCCGAGAGCAGGAGTTGGTTGGTCTGGGTTATCGTATCGGTTTTGGAGTCAGGTTATGAATTTTGCGAGTCGTTTGGCGGATTACCCGGGGGGTTTTAGGTTGCATGCCATATTACATTAGATTTATGATGACATTTATGGCCTAGTAGAAGATGATAATAATAATACGAAGCTTCACATTCAACACCTCTTTCACAATAAGTCTACACACCAAGCCAAGTCCAACTATAAACCCCACTACACACAAACACCAACAAGTAAACATGAACATAAACACCACCTACACAAACCCAAACGCACTCTCATCCCACAACCGTCCCCTCGTACGCACCAACTTCCCCCCAGAAACCACCGCCCTCGCCATGCGAGCCGGCGGATCCCAAACCACCTCAGCCACGCTCCTCCGCGGCCTCACAACCCCACCACCGGACTCATCCACATCAAAAAACAACAGTAAATCCGGCCTCCGAATACACAGCCCAGTAGTACCACCCTCGTCCTTCTCGTCCAACCCCATGGCAGCCCTAGCGCGCGTCGAAACACACTCATACAGTAACTCGGCGTCCTCCACCGTCCCGGCCTGGTAAACGCCAACCCCCAAACAGGCTAATCCGAGTGGATCGACAGATCCCCACGGCGTGAATGCGTTGCCGACGTTGTTCACCCCCAGAACGACGTCGAGACCATATCGTCTAATCAGCTCGGGGACTCGTAACGTGCCGCGGACTGTATCGCCGTGCTTTGAAGTACAACAAGAACCAGAACCAGAACCAGAACCAGGAGAAACAGGGGAAGAAGGAGGAGAAACACAGCAAGAAGACGAGAGGGGAGGCGAAGCCATATACAAATCACTGGTGGGCAGACCCACAAAACTAACGGGCAAAGCATGGTCCCCGGTCCCAATCTCCGTGGTTAGTCGTTCCCATTCATCGTCCCTGAACAGGGTGAATCGTGTACAGTGGCCCAACATGACCCTCTTGTTCGTCCGAGATTGGGTCCACCCGATGTCCCGTAAACATTGCAGGACGAACCCGACCAAGGCGCCCTTGGTCGGATCGAGGTGGTAGTCGAGGTGGAAATCGACATGTTTGTGCGTTTGCCAGGCGGTGGTGATGGCCCATTGGATGTTTTGTTTGGCGGTCTCGAGATCGGCTTCTACGTAGGGCGTGACGCCGATGACATCCAGGTGGGCCCCGTGGTCTGTCAAGGCGCAGTGCATGAGGTCGCGGTTGGCTTGGGCGTGTGGGCCGGAGAAGAGCGGGTCTTGGGCGAATGCTACGAGCTGGATGTGGCAGTGGTTGCGCCAGGAGTGTTTGAGTTGGATGCCGGTGGTGAGGCACTTATGCTGAACGGTGGTGTCGATCTCGATGAAGGCGCGCAGGGCGGTTACGCCGTTGAGGAGGGATTCGGATAAGAGCCATTCGCCGCGGCGGTGGAGGTCGGGCTCGGTGAAGGTGGATTTGGCCTGGGTGGTTAGACTCAGGGCTTCTTGGAAGGAGCCTGTCTGGGGGTGGATGGTGGTGGAGTTGAGGATGTAGGCTTTGTCGAGGTGGATGTGGGGGTGGGTGAGGGCCGGCAGGGCCAGAGGAGGAGGATAAGATGTGTTAGGGGAGGCGTTCGATTGAGAGTGGGGGACTATGGAGCTGAGGGTGTGTTCGCTGGAGACGGTGAGGTCGTATGTTATTGGATTTGAACTGTGGGAGTATAGACGGACGTTGGAAATAGTTTGGATTTCGGGGGAGAGCTGCGGTGGCGACATCTTGCATGTAGTTTGGGGACGGTCGATCGAGATAGTAGGGCTCTACTCTACTTCTATAGAAACCGGTTGCGATCAGAGACATGATGGCGCTGCGGGGAAGCAGGCAAACCCAATCATATGAATATGAATAATCGCATCCATTGCTAGTAGACTATGAATACATACGGCTAAAAGTATTCCGGCAGCGGAGGTCTCCGGCACTTGAGTTATCTGGTTCATGCTCCTTATCTTCTCCATACCTGTTTATCAAGGGCGCTATTCAAGCGCCAGCTCCATGATCTGCCAGCGTGGGGCACGCAACCAGTCGAAATCTTCATGTCGTTCCGGGCGTACACACAATCCGATCCGCCGGAAGACCGGCGTCGCATCCGTGGTGGTCCTCGGATCCCCCCTCAGAAGGAGCCCTGATCGATGGGTGATGGGGAGTAAGATGCTATCCTCGGGGAAGATAGCATCAGAGTCCAGGTGGATCGCTGGATCCGCTGGATTTGTGTTTCTGGATTGTTCGCTCAACCGCCCTGCGTTCATGAGCACCCTTCCTTTGATGACGATTCGGCCCGATAACACTCGACCGTACTTGTTCACCGGATCCTCCAAGGTCGTTGATGCCTCTCGCACCTTGCATGGGTAAGTTCTTTGGGGTGGCCATGTCATTCTTGCCGACCAACTGGCATCGTCGTCTTCGAATTCAAAATCAATCGGACCGTCCCACGAGGCCCAAGACCAGGACGGCCCATCAATGCGTCGATCGGGGCCGATAGAGTTACCCACACGGTACCAGAGGAGGCCACGGTATAGATCGCATCTCCATATTCCTCCGAGATAAGGTCCGAGATGATGGCCTGGGAAACCTTCTTCGAAGACGGCAGCCAACCCGGAGATGGCTGGAAGCTTGTCCTCTGCAGCGTATGTCAGGGTGCGCCTGGTATAGGTTTGCACCATCTGACGCCATTGACGTAAAGTGAGCTTCGAATTCGAGCATGGATAGCCAGACATCAAGGGCTTGTCGAATTCTTCCCCGGAAAATCCAAAGGGCCTGTCGTTTCTCGCCCACATTTCCGCACACTTCCAGACCAAATGGTGTTGTCCACAGTACAGGCGTCGTCGGGAGAGCTGCTCCTCTTGGTAAATCCAACCTCGTGTTTGAGTGACGCCTTCGAGCTCGTAGACATCCGCGAGTCCCCCATCCTCCTCATGGACATACATTTGTCCCTCGACCCGGCATGCATAGTCCACTAGATTAGTAGGTACGTACGCCGTGGTGCATTGTCCAATGCCGTTTGCTGATGTAAAGGCGTTGATGGTGATATCGGCGTGTCGGTAAACATCGCCCATCTTTGCAGATTCCTTGGCCCAGTCGTGGTCATCATCCTGGAGGATACAAAGGGCGTCAATCCAGATATACTGGAGTCCAATCCCGATGGCGATTTCAAATGCTTCACGAAATGTGCGTGATAGCTCTGAAATATCGATCCCCTTCTTGAGGAGTTCCAGGTTTTGTGTGGTGAGTCTTAAGGAGGTTGAAGAAGACCAGCGATGACTGAGAGCAGCGTAGCGGGCCTCTTCCCCGCTTGTAGCAAGCAGCCTGGCTTTCAACTCTTCCCGGATTACCTGGAGTTGAATGACCCTGGTTGGGAGTACGCAACCAGTGCGTCTGCAGGACAGGTGAGATTGATCACATATCGAGATCCAATGCCGAGATCCAATGCCTGGCGAAGTCACTCGTACGCCCTTCAGATCGAACCGTGGGTGGCAGAGGATTTTCCGCGCGTTGTGCAAAGGAGACCGAAAGCTTAGCAGGTTCGCAGCCTGGGGCTCCGAGCAAAAGCACCCATCTGCCAGCTTCCATACGGTGTGATACGTAGGTGACTGCATCCAATTGATCGAGGTCCCATCTCTTTTGCGCTGACTCGATTCTGCTTTTCCATTCGGTGCTCGCCTTGTCGAAGCTCAGGTGATATTCTTGCCATCGAGGTATGTGCACTGTCCTCTCTCCACGGCTAAACATGGCAACGCAGATTAAAGCGCATAGATGACAGCCTTCATATGCCGACTTGAGATGGCTATACATTGTACTGAGCCGACGTCGTTGGTGCCTCGGTAGCCAGCTGCCTTTCCCATGGTGCATTTGCTTCCAGAGAGATGCCCAGGGAAAGGCTTGGCATGTTGAGCAGAGTCGATCAATGTTCTGGGTTGCCCTCAGAGCAGGCGGCATGCTTTGGTTCCTTTCAGGTAGTGATATAGTCCATCTCTCGGCGTGTAGCCATGTGAACATCTGCTGGACAGGGTCAAGTGCTTCTGTGGACACTTGAAGCCGCAAGGGTCCTTCCTCTGACTGCTCGGGAGGATCAAGTGTTCCTTGGAGCATTTGAGGCTCTGAAGACCCTTGGTCTGCCTGGCAAAGGCCTTTGGGCATTCGAGGTTGCGAAGGTCCAGGATCCATCTTGTGGAAATGGTGGAGAAGAGGTCTTGTGTTGGATGGAGTCAACTGGATTAGTCTAGACAGCTCCAAAGTACCGTGCGGTGTGAGTAAAAGATAACAGAGGGTGATAATCAATGAGTGTTAAGGATAGAGAGAGGATATCTGATGGTTCAGTAATGAATAGGGTGGTGTGTGGGAGATTGTAAAGAGGTAAAGCAATCAATTGACGGGGGAAGTCCAATTCAGTGGCCGGGCGAGAGACACGCTGGAAGGAAGGTACGATCTTCGCCATGGTCAGCATTGGAAACTACAACTGGAAAGAACTCGCCCTCAAGAAGAAAAGAAGCAGTCCTCACATCATTTACGTACATCAGAACCTGTCACTCCCAGGGACTTGCTTAGCGATCTGCAAGGAGAGTTTTTATAGGGTAGGTTTGGTTTTTTTGTTGCTTTGTATTATATCAGAACATCTCTAAATCTCAGTCTCGGAACAGAATGTTCGGAGACAAGAGTCTTCGGCCGTGTTGGCCTTGTAACTGGTTTTCGCTGAAGCGCCCCATGATGATATACATTATACTTCATATAGGTGGTGTTATTATTGCAGACGGTAATCTGGTTGACGTCTCTTAGGGTTCTGGTTCTGGAAACTTAGGTCATTATATCGTAGACCTACCACTAGTACTAGATATGGTTATTCCAATGGAACCTTCACCTATTAAATTCACAGTCTTACTAAACTTGATCACTTACCTTGTCTTCTTTATTCTCTACTTTCTACTTTTATTCATCTACTTTATCATGTCTCTGGGAAGTCCGTCCAGCGAGCTCTCTACAATGGAGAGTGTCTCTTCTATTGCCCCCAAATCTCTTAAACCACTCGCCACTGCCCAGAAGTTATTTTATACTTTAAAGAAGAGGATACTAGATACAAACGGACCTTCCTACTTTGAACTTGGTGTTATGTCCCCCGAAACGGGCCACCTGGTGGCAAGAAGCCTATGTGAAGACGGAAATGTGGAGAGGAAGAGTATAGCCTATCTCATTTGACCCTATCGTTCAAATATTGTCGATAAACATGCCATCCGCCGCCCATGAAGCTGTGCACGACTGGGTTGGAGATGAAGTCAGAACCTGCAGCTTAGATAACAGCTTCTTTACTTTTACTGAGCCGCGGGGTATTTCAGTTTACGGGCCCAGGCGTACGAAAGTCGATACTCTCTATGACTGAGATATACTGATGACAGATATAGGTTATGATAACTTTCCAGTACCATGGAACAACATGTACAAAGGACCCGATGCTGCGATTGTCTTAACAGGAGCACCTATGCCTATGATTACAGTAGAAGTAGGCTATACCGAGTCATGGCCAAAACTCCTGTAAGACAAGGACCTATGGATCAATTGGGGAGCACCTCATGTAAATGCGGTACTTCTGGTTAAATGGAACATCCGCAAGAATAACCAGGTGGCTGGCTTTCTCGAACTACATCGTCCTGGGATACCCCCTGTTTGTCTAGTAAGTATTGGTTAATTATTATAAATCCTTCTGATAGCTGTATTGCTTAGAAAGCGGGTATTCAGTGGTCTCTATTCCAGACGATATTGGAGCCCCCGCTCAAACACTCACCTGGCAGCGCCAGGCCTTTGAACCAGTGGGTCAGGTACCACCTGGGAGAAATCCTAATGACATATGCCTATGGGATCTAGATAATCTTTGAGATAGAACACGTAGCACTATGACTGGGGAGGGCTTATCACCAGCGACATAGCCCAAATCGAATCATTATTATCGTTGAGCATTAGTATCAAATATAGGATTTAGTTGTTTTGAAAGAGTTGTGAGGCTATTTGCAATTGCGAGGATAATGTGTCACATCATCAATCCTCCAGGTTCAATATTTCTCTATACCTCTCTCCCAAACAAGGAGCAAGCAATGTTTTCTCAAACGCATCCAACTTCCTCAAGACCCGCCCGTTCTCAAAAGCCCTTGCAAAGTCTCCATAAAGCACTGTGTCGGAGCCCAAGCGATGCGACTGGGCCAGCCACGAAGCATCCGTAGCCACATCCCACAGAGCAGCCCCAGAAGTGAAGGGCAGGACACTCAATGCACGAACAGTCGTACAATGCCCCACCTTCAGTACGGAGTACAGCCCTTCAATCAGTATAGAAACGATAACAGTTCTGCGAACACTCTCCGCAAGGATCCATTCCCTCCATGTAGGTGCGGGGCCTAGTTCGCTGGCACGAACTTGCAACCGCATGGTCCAGGCTCGCAGCGTATCCATATTCTGTTCCGCTAGAGAGCGCTGGCGGATGTCGCCGTCGAAAAGCTGGATGATGTGGAATATCAGTAAGGCCTGTACTGCCGCGAGAAACTCTTCGAGGGTATTCTCTGGGTGATGCTGGTTCAAGAGATTGGCCGTTTTGGCTTCCAGGATACGGAATATCGTCTCTTCTGTTTCTGGTGTTCTGTTATAATAGGACACGGACACGGTGAAGGCATCTTGGATTGCTTCGGGGAGGTATACGTCGTATAAGCGATGGTGGATGAATGGAGCTTTCCGGGAGCGAGCAAACGCCCGTGGATAGCTCTTGATGCTTTGTAGAAGCTGCTTCGTGGACCATTTGTCGATAGCTGAGGTCTCTGGGAAATAGCCAGCTGGGAGCAATGTTGGGACAGCGAGTAAAGGAGGGCTAGACGTAAGCCACGAGGCCATCAAGTCCGTGTCAGTGAATAAAGTGAAGTCATCTGACAGAAGGGCTGCAGGAATATCATCCACTAAGGGTGGTGATGATGACGACGGTAGAAGTCTGGGAGACTGCCGTCTTTGCTGTTCTCTGATGTAGATGCATTCCAGCCCTCGGGCGAGACACCGTGAGCACTGCGGAGTTTGGCGGTCGCAGCGCCGCTTCCCTACAGCGCATGCGATGCAGGACTTCTGCCGAGAACGATTAGAAGGTAATGTGCGGGGCATTTCTTCGAGTCTTGGTTAATTGTGAGGTTGACAGGAACTATGACGCATAAAATCGCGGCTGAGGACCAAACTCCGCAGCAAAGTCCGCTGCCCCCACTGTGAAGTCCGCAGGGCTGCCCATTGGTATTGGGTGCTTCAATCCGCAGGCTTATGGGATCATGGATTGTATTAGTCAAGTCCGCAGGCAACATGGGATTTTGTCGTGACGTATGGGGTGTGATGAACGTACATAAAAGGCGTTGTTGCCCTGAGTCTGAAGGATCCTTGGTACATTCCAACAAGAAACATCTCTTCCACTACAATGGCCATCACTGAACTCATTTTCCCAGCGATCAAGACTGATCCAGACTCGCTCAGAGAAATCGAGCAAGACTGGCCCATAATCAGTAAAAGATTGACACACCCTAATCCTGGCTTGCTTAATGCCTATCGCGGCTTTCTCCTCACTGAAAACGGAAAAGATGTGAGAAATGCTCACAGAGAGTTTCTTCTATTCGGTGAGTGTGCTTGGCTTACCATCTGGAAAGGTTTTGGATTGATTTGGCTATAGAGTGGGTTAAAGCGGAATGCTTCCATGCCTTCATCAAGTCCGACCAATTCGGCAGCTTTGCTACTTCAATCAAGCATCTGGTGAATGGGCCGCCGATGCTACAACTCTTTGAAACCAACATCAGCCCGAGAAAGGCAGCTTCGGCCTCCGTTGTTGAGATCATTCGCTTGAGTATCTCGACCCCTGAGAACGTCGAGATATCAACACAGGCATGGGAACGGATCTCTCGCTTTCTTAGTGGGAAGGCTTCCATCACGTACGGACCAAGTTCCAATCTTGAGAATGATGTCGTTGCCGGTATTATAGGATGGCATGACACAGAGGTAAGACCGAGCTATGTTTATTCCTTTGATCTACTGCACCAGAGCACTTTGCTTACATTGAACAGACTCGGTCTCAGGCAATCCAAGACTCCGAGTACACAGAAGCGCTCAACATACTACAGTCCCTGGGAGATGTCAATCGTATTACCGTCGATATCGCTGCAATGGAACTACCACCGCTGTGAAGTATACTTGATGAAGTGGAAGTAGTCTATATATCGGCAGCATCTTAATCATCTTTCTATATATCATATCTTCACTCTTGTTTTGCTCATGTTTGGCAGTATCTACAATAACCTACAATCAAATACTATGTTTCTAGTCTGCGATATAATACTACAGTGTAATAGAGCCCTGTTTCTGGGACTCTGGAGTAGTATAGAACAATACTATATTCAAGTAATAGAAGTATCAGAGAGACAGTTGTCAAATAATAGATATCTATGAAATAACACATTATATATATAGCTATATACTTATTACACAGTTATAACCCCAAGTAATCTAATCAAAAATTAGATTAGGGCGAATCAGACATATAAGCCAGAGCCTGGAAGCTCCTGTGCCCTGTCAGCAAGGGGAAGACATGGCGATATTTAGTACTACACAACATGGGTCTAGAGCCAATGAATGAAACGCAAGACTTAGTCTGAAACATTGGGAATAGTTATTGCAAATATAAGAGGTCGTAGGTCTAAATCTGAGGTCCTTGTGCACCGCAGATATGTGGTGGGTTTCACAGCATGCGCAGTGGGCCCTTGCTATCACAGTATCACTTTGGAGCACTTGTATAATAGTAACACGTAGTGCGACTTTGTAAAATATAGGGTAACAAATTGTGTATCCTAAAAGGTTAAAATAGTGGTCTAATGGGACTTGTAAGCTGTGGACAATGGCAATGTCTGTGTGTCTATTGACGTGAGATGATATAGATATATATAGACAGCAATTGTCTGATCCTAACCTCGAGAAAGTCAAATTCTAGGTAGAAAACTCAACTAAAAGAATAGCCCAAATACCCACAACCCAAGTAATCCCTTTTCAAACCTCCTATCCCTTCTATCTATGGCAGTAAGCGTTGTTGCGATCCAACCTCGCGGTACCTGAATCTACCCCAAACGGTATAGCGCCATCCATCCAACACTTTATCTCCAGACACAAACAACCTAGGTCACTTCTTTATCAACAGACCCAAACCCACCCACTACCAGGACAAACAAAACACCAACAATGCCCCCCAAACCCCAATAAACATTTCAACAAACCAAACCCCATATACCCAAAATGCCCCCAACCAAACGCATCCTCACGACCGCCGCCCCGCGCACCACCGCATCGCAAACCCCGAAATGGCACTCCGCACTAACGCTCGACCTCGTCCTCAGCGTCCTACGTCGCACAATCCTACACCCCTGGCCGGCCTGGATTCTGGTGCTCAGTCTGCGCGCCCAGGTTACACCGGTCACTGACCTGGCGTTTATTATCGCAACTGGGTATGCGGTTTTGGTGACGCTGGTTGCGATTGCTGGGGTGGTGAATGCGCGAGTTGCGTATGGGTTGCCGAGGACGGTGGAGTTGGGTGAGGAGGTGGTTGTTATTACTGGGGGGGCGAGTGGGTTGGGGTTGTTGATTGCGGAGATCTATGCGATGAGGGGCGTTGGTGTGGCGGTTTTGGATTTGAAGGATGAGAGGGAGGTCGAGCTCTGTGAGGGCGTGGAGTATTATACTTGTGATGTTGGGAGCAGGGAGGCGTTGAAGGGTGTGCTTGTGAGGATTGAGAAGGAGGTTGGTTTCCCTTCTACTTTTTCTTCTTCTTCTGCTTGGATTTGCTTTTATCTACTTGGTGCATGTCTCGAGTAGAGGGTTACTGGAATTGTGGTATTCGTTCCTATTTACAAAATGCTGATTCCCCGACAGTTAGGTACCCCTACAGTTCTTATTAACTGTGCTGCGGCGCGCATCAACGGTCTGCCGCTTTTGTCGCTCTCCGCCGAGGCGTTCCAGAAAACCATCCAGACCAACTTGTTCGCGGTGTTCCATACCTGCCAGACGTTCCTGCCTCGCATGCTGGCTGCTCCGAATGGCGGTACGATCGTGAATGTCAGTTCGGTCTTGGGCCAGTTGTGTCCGGCGGGCCTGGCGGATTACTCGACCAGCAAGGCCGGCCTGAGTGCACTCCATCGGACGTTAGAGGCGGAGCTTCGTGTGTCGGGAGATGATGAGAAGGTGAAAATGATCTTGGTTGAGCCGGGGCAAGTAGCGACACCATTATTTGCATCGGTCAAGACACCAAACAAGTTCATCGCCCCCGTTCTCGAACCGGTCCATGTTGCTCGGGAAATCGTTTCTGCGATAGAGGAAGGAAGAGGGGGTGTCATCCGACTGCCCGCGTACGCCACGATGGTGAACTGGTATGCGGTGTTGCCTGCAGGCTTACAGCGTCTTGCCCGGTTCTTGAGCGGAGTCGACCATGCGGTAGCGCCAACAACAACCCAGAAATCGCATGATGAACCAAAAGCAGCGAAAACGGAATGAGGTAACGTGCCGCCGGGTTGAACGCAGACGTCCATGGAAATAAAAAGTCTGCACGATGTATATAAGTTGTCTTCCGAACCAATCCCACAGATGACCGGATATGGTATATCTCCATCCCCAGAGAAAGCGCGGTGCCTACTGCTCCGAGGTCAAGATCATCTTCTGGCGCTCGCTCTGTCTTGGTTTCAGTTTGTCCTTCCTGGTGTGCTTCCGGATGTTCTCTTGGCGTCTCTTGATCGCATTGAGCTCCTCTCTCTTGATCTCGCCGGCCTTCTTGATAGGCATTGGCACGTGACGCTGGCGCTTGATTCTTCTGATCTGGGGCATGTGTGAGTATCTTTGGATCAAGGCCTGATCATACTCTAGCTTGGCCCGTTGACGGGCGCTCTTGATACCGCTGCGATCGGAGGCATTGGCACGCCAGAGTCGAATATTGCCGTCATCCGACCCGGACAGAATGTATTTATTGTCGGGTGTGAACTTAACGGAGAAGACACTGTATCCTGTTAGCAACATTGTTTGCTTCGGTGTGAGCCACATATACGTACCGTTGCATTCTCTTCGTGTGGTAAATATCGCGCGAGCGACCCTCGGTTCTGTTCCATACACGGATCGTCCTGTCATATGAAGCCGTCACCAACTCTTCACCTGTCGGACTGAATTCAACATCCATGACCGCCGCCACGTGATCCTTCAGCACGTTCAATGCACGATCCATCTTCCTCATATCGAATATGTAGGCGTTGTGATCTTCGTTGGCAACCGCGAAGTTGAATGCTTCCATGGGGTTCCACGTGATAGCGTTCGACGCCAGTCGTAGGACAAGCTTGTGGAGCGGGGACGAAGTTCGGAGATCATACATGATGATAGAGCGGTCGATACCGGTCGATGCCAAGATCGACGTCTCCGTCTGGTTGAAGGCAATTGATGTGATGGTGTCGATGCTGGTAGGCCAGTTGAGGGTCTGGGAGGCCGTAGACGAAGGCCGAGAGAGATCGTAGATTTGGATCTGAGACGATGACGACGCAGCAAAGGATGGGAGATGTCTATGGTGGGACAGACTGGTGAAAGCACCCTGGCCCAAATAAGTCGCGAGAGGTGGAGCATCGGACGTCGAGTTGTACGGATCAAACAGCTTGACGGTCTTGTCGGCCGCGCAAGAAAGCAACTTCCGATCCGGAGTCCAGCACACGTCCTTGACAATGTTCTCATGGGCTTGTGTGTTCCAGACCTCGCCCTGGGTCGTTAGATCCCAGACCTTGACCACTCCATCACCACTGCCACTGGCGAAACGTTCCAACGAGCCTGGATCTTTGGCCATCGAGTATACACCGTCCACGTGGCCATCACCAATCTGAGCCAAGAAAGGCGCGGCGAAAAGACGTTCTAGCTTGGTGGCATTGAGAGCTCGGGTATATTCTCGAGCCCGTTCGAATGGATGTTGCGCCGGGTCAAGGTTTCGGGGCTGTCGAACGACAGCTGATCCCGGAGCCTGCTGCGAGGCAGTGGAGCGAGAAAGAGCTTTGATTTTCTAGCAGTAGAATAAGTATTATTTTCGCCTGAAATATGTAGAAATTTGCACTTACCATGACGCTCTTACTGTGTTATACAACAAAACGGGGAAAAGAAGAAAATGTTTTGGCGGCGGACATAAAAAATCCAGATACTTTTTTTTGGCGGGTAATAGTGGTTCTGGTTGGTTCGCCAACCCGCGGGCGGTGAGGGGCGGCTGTAGCTTGGACGGTCTCCAACAGTGACGATACCTCTGGTGACTTATCCTCATCAGCAAGACATCTCACATCCCCTCCACCTTGAACCCGTTATACCTCTCCTGCTTCCTTGGGTCTCTCGCGCCATTTAGCTATCTCTATAACCAAACTCAACCCTACCGTTGCTTTCCACATTAAAAGACGTTCAATCATGGCGCCCTCCTCGACAACCGCCCAGCGGATAGAGGAAGCTCGGGCTTTAGCGAAGAAGGACGCTTCCAAGGCCGAGACCATCTACAAGGACATCCTTTCTCAAGGACCAGGGTCGACGGAAGCTTCGTCGCGTGATTATGAAAGTGCTTTGGTCGGATTGGGAGAGCTTTATCGGGATGAGAAGAAGCCGAATGAGATCGCTGAGCTCATTAAGACTAGCCGCGACTCTTTCTCATCATTCGCGAAAGCTAAGACAGCAAAGCTTGGTAAGCTGGTTGGCAGCAACGCATCACTCACCGGTCCCAATGAACTGACCCCATACAGTCCGCCAGCTACTGGACCTGTTCAGTGAGATCCCTAATACACTCGATATTCAAACCGCCGTCATCAAATCCTGCATCGACTGGGCTATCGCAGAGCGGAGATCCTTCCTTCGACAGAACCTTCAGACCCGTCTTGTGGCCATTTACATGCAGAAGCAATCCTACTATGATGCCCTTAACCTGATCAACTCCCTCCTACGCGAGCTGAAGCGATTGGATGATAAACTTATGCTGGTCGAGGTGCAGCTGTTAGAGTCTCGGGTGTATCATGCTTTGGGCAACCAGGCCAAGGGCCGCGCTGCCTTGACAGCTTCTCGCACATCAGCCGCTTCCGTCTACACCCCTCCGAATCTGCAAGCCGGCTTGGATATGCAAAGTGGTATGCTCCACGCGGAGGACAAGGACTTTACCACCGCCTTCTCTTATTTCATTGAAGCTTTGGAGGGATACAGCTCGCTCGACGAAAGCGACAAAGCCACAGCCGCTCTCCAATACATGTTGCTTTGTAAGATTATGCTGAACCTGGGTGATGATGTGACGCATTTGCTCGGGTCCAAGCAGGCCCAGAAGTATGCTAGCCCGCGTCTCGAGGCCATGAAGGCAGTGGCCCGCGCTCACGCCAACCGATCCCTTGAAGAATATGAAAAGGCTCTCTCGGACTACCGCTTCGAGCTGGGCAGCGATGTATTTATTCGGAATCACCTCCGCCGACTGTATGATGCCATGTTGGAGCAGAATCTGATTAAGGTCATTGAGCCCTTCAGCCGGGTTGAGCTGGACCATATCGCCAAGATGGTAGGGCTCGACACCCCGCAGGTGGAGCGGAAGCTCTCGCAGATGATCCTGGATAAGGTAATCATCGGTGTGTTAGATCAAGGCTCTGGGTGCTTGATTGTATTCGACGAGACGGAGCGCGATCAGGCATATGACGCTGCTCTGGAGACTATCGAGAAGTTGAGCAACGTGGTGGAAGAGTTGTACACTAATCAGGCATCCCAGCTGGAGTAAACGCTCCCGCTGGTTTTTGAGTTATGTTTGGGAAATGATATAGCATTACAGACATAAAGCCGGTGCAAGATAGACGGTGGAGTCACGAATACACGTAAATTTCCCTTATGACGAAGGTCAGATCGTAGTTTAGTAGTGAAGACATGCCAATGATGTCGATGCTTTTGGTGTTCCGGGGCATCGCCTAAACGGGTAAAGCGCGATCGCGGCAAAAGAATCGCGACTTTCAGAACCCCAAGAGACATCTTCAGTACCATCAGAGAGTTCTTTGTTACATCGTCCCAGAACTCCTTCAAACCCGACTAGGACCCTTGTGGATTCGCTTTGCTCTGCTTAGCTAGCCACTAGTCATGAATGCCCCAATGCCGCCCACGTACGGGCGTGGGTTCCCGCAGGCCGCCCAACGGTCTCCTGCCACGCCTCGTCGCGGACCCCAAGGACCAGGTAGTCTCCACCCCTTGATCTCGTATAACTACCGCTCCTAATATCGTCTCACACAGCTGGCCCAGCAATGGCCGTACCCATGCCACAGCACCCCGTTCCCGCTCAGTACATCCCCGCCCAGCGCAACATGCCACACCCCAATGATGCTGCTCTTCGCCGGACCCGCAAGCCCACCGACAAGAACATCCCCGACGGCATCGAAGATGTGGTGATCGGGGAAGGCGTACAGCAGTACAAGGACCTGCGCGATTTAGAGAAGAGACTGGACGCCGCCATCGTCCGAAAGAGGCTGGACATTCAGGATTCGATCAGCAAGACCGTCAAAAAGTACCGGACGATGCGCATTTGGATTACGAACACAGTCGAGAACCAACCGTGGCAAGGTGCGACTGGCCAGAACGGGTCAGCGACTAACCCCGGCTCGGGGCGTTACAAGGTGCGCATCGAGGGACGACTGCTGGATGATGATACCGATCCTACGGCCCCCGAGGATAGCGACAACGAGGGCAACGAGACGCAGGCGAATGGAGACGCCATGGATCACGACGGGAAGGAGACCAAGAAGAACGCCCCGAAGCGGTCAAAGCAGCGCTTTTCGCACTTTTTCAAAACGGTCACGGTCGACTTCGACAAATCTTCAACCGCGAACCCGGAGGAGATTAAGACTGTTAACTGGACTAAGCCCCAGCTTCCGGCTAATACTGTAACGCTGCCCCCGACTGCCGATTTTGACTCTCTGCAGTTCTCTCGAGCTTCCCAGGAGAACTTGAATGTTACCGTGAGCCTTGTCAGAGATGAGACTCCCGAGCGGTATAAGCTGAGCAAGGAGCTGGCGGAGGTGCTCGATGTCGAGGAGGAAACGCGCAGTGGAATCGTGCTTGGGATTTGGGATTATATTCGCGCGATGGGTCTACAGGAAGACGAGGAGAAGCGTTTGGTCCGTTGTGATCATCGTTTGCGATCTGTATGTTTCAACTTTTCCTCATCGAATGGGATGATACTAACGTCTACAGATCTTCGGCCGAGACCAGATGTTCTTCCCACAGATCCCAGAGAGCATCGGCCCTCACACCAGTCCCCTTGACCCGATCAAGCTTCCATACACCATTCGTGTCGATGAAGATTTCCACAAAGACCCCACCCCCACCGTCTACGACATCCAAGTGGCCGTGGAAGACCCGCTCCGCGCTAAGATGCTTGCTCTGACCCAGAACCCACAGTACACCGCCGGGCTGCGACAGATTTCCACTCTGGACGACCAGGTGTCTCTCATCGTCCAGGCACTGACACACTCGCGTGCCAAACACTCCTTCTACACGGCGCTGAGCAAAGACCCCGCCACGTTCCTTCGCCGCTGGGTCAACTCGCAGCGCAGGGACCTCGAGACCATCCTGGGCGAGGCGACGCGCGGTGGCGGCGAAGATGCCACGGGACCCGAGTTCCGCCGCGGAGGCGCCGATGGCGCTTGGGACTCGCCGGTGGCCCGCGAAGCGGTGCGGTACATGCTCGCGAAGCCGGAGGCCATGCTGCGGTGATTGTGTACTGGTCGTGTTTATTTAGCTATCTTCGGATTTTGGCTGGGGCGCTCATGCGGTGTTTGGTTGGGAGTGTTATGTATCCACTAGCTTTAAGTATGTGTCGATGTGAATTCAATGAATTTACTATATTCTTCGATATAGCGGCCTGCATTTAATGAACCATGATATTTAATCAGAAACTTGAAAAAGTAACATCATAATGTAAGAAGATGCAAATAAACAATCTCCAAGCCCCAGCCGAAACAGATGATGACAAAAGAACCATATACCAAGCACCGATGCAATGCACAATGTGCCAGCTCATCTACCGTCTACAGCATCTCACCATCTCAGGCCCTAACTCAACCCTACCTCCTCCTCCTCACATCCCCGCCGCCAACATCAACATCCTTCGCAACGCCCTCCCCAAGGAACGGACTCCCCTCTTCCTCCTCAAGCGAAGCAGCAGCCTCAAGCACAACCTTCTCCACGACCTCCTCGACCGCCTCCTCCCTTTTACCCCCGTCCTTAACGGCACCCTCCTTCGGCCCCCGGAACCTCTTCAACACCGTCTCCACCATCTTCGAAAACCAATAATAGTTCAATGAATTCAACACCACATTCGCCGCAACATAGGTCCCGACAAGCCACGTTGGCACCCCGCCCGCCGTGAACCCGGCATACTTGAACACCTCCTCATTGGCCCTCCTGCAGACCTCGTCGACGCACTGCTCTGCGAGCTTGGCCCTGTGTCCGAAGACGGCGCTGTTGATGGCGCTGTCCAGGCCCGCAGAGGACCCTGCCGCCACAAGGGGAGACAGAGACCAGGTCTGGGAGAGGGCGGCCCACATGTCCTTGTAGACGAGGATGGATTGCCAGGTTCCCCAGACGAGACGGCAGGAGAAGAAGACGGAGAGGAGGAGCATGCCGTTGTACCATTGGAGCTTGGACCCGGTGAGGTTCAGTTTATCCAGGAACCAGTGGATGTTGAGGAATGGGGAGGAGAGCTCGTAGAGGATGAATGTTGGGGAGTAGAAGTTTACGAAGGGTCTCTGCGGGTTTCTTCTGTTAGTTTGTTTTTTTTTCTCTTCGCTTCTCTTTTCTTGATTTGTTTATGGAGAGGGAGGGAGAGTAGAAGGGAGGTTTCTTTGTTGTATCGGATATGGATAAAGAGGGGGATCACATACAAACCCGAAACTAAACACCCATAGCGCACTAATGGCATGGAACAACATGCCCACGCCAAACATCCTGATGTGCACCGTACTGACGATAATGTCGTAGACGAAGTATCCCTCGGCCAGGGCCTCGAGGAGTCCACACATGCCCGTGTATCCGTAGATGCGCTCTCCGGTGTCCATGTTCTTGCGCTCTTTGTCCACGAACATGATCCACAGGGCGAGGGCGTTGATGAGCACGCTCTGGACGAGGGAGACGACGTGGACGTCCCAATTGAGCTTGGTACGTTTGTTCAGGTGTGGGTAGTGGCGGGGGAACAGGATGGGGGAGAGCCATGGCGAGAGGAAGGAGTGGATGAACTGGTAACCGGCGAAGGCGATGATGACTTCATGGATGTGGTCTGAGAGGGCGGGAACGTTGAGATACAGGGCCCAGGGCTCGACGCGGTCTCGGAGCCATGCTGGCGGAGGGGGGAAGGGGTCCAACATGCCGGCGTTGGCGGCGTTGGCGGCGAGAGGGGTGAGAGCAGTTGGCGAGTAGGGTTATTATCGGTGCCTAGTTGGTGATGATGTAGTGGATATCGGACAGTTGGGGGAGCTTGATGGCTCCAGTATAACAGCCGAGAGCTGAAATACTGGATATAGTCGGGAAGGAAAGTCGACGTGAAATTAAGGGAACAGGTCAAACGGCGGTGTCTAGTCGGACCCCAGGCCAGCCATGGTCTCGAGCTGAGGTGAGGAGAAGGTCATTTATGCATCTCAAACTAATGAAATGCCGCGGTTGCTCGCGTGCCTTGCGGATGCCTGATTCGTGGGGCCGCCAGTTGGGACGAATCCGTTGGGGACGCTGACTCAGCGCCTGCTGATCGCCCCGGGTCCCGTGATTGGATCATTGGACGTGATCGACTGCGCTAGGCCGCTTCCAGAATGCGCGCCTGAGCGGTCTAGATTCCACATCAATATAGGGCTATATGAGTGCTATCAGGGACCACACTCTTTTCTTTCATGCAGAGACACGCACATCACCCATTTCTGTAGGTATGGAGACCATCTCAAAAGTCGTGACATCAACGCCCAAGCCTATCACATGGATATCAGCGGTGGGGACAGGGGTTAAGCATGAGGCAAGACACGGTCAGCAGAACAGGGGCATTCTACAACCTGTCTGGGAAGGAGTCTATCTACAGGGCTAGAAAGCTTGGACTACAATAGTGCAGGGGCCATCATGTAAAGGAAGATCGTAAATATATTATGGTAATGTATCTAGTGCTAAACAAGAATCGATGTCATGTGCATTCAAGCTAAACAAAACTATCAACAAAGGAAAAGTACAAAAGAGACGAGTCTAGAACAACTTTAAACACTGCTGGAACTTATCCGGCGGAACCGTCCGTCGGTGGTATCTCAAGAATCCATATCAGACTGCACATGATCATAAGTCAACCATCAATCAATCAGGCCATCAACTGAAGCTATCCCGCAACGCTCGCAACCCCAATCCCACTGTCGCTATGTTGTCCGTAGAGCACCATTTTGGATGACTCGGAATCAAGCTCGGGATCCTCGCCCTTAAGATCGTCATGTGTCTCCGAAGCACCGTCTCCATCATTCGCAACTGAACGAGCGCCCTGGCCAACAATCTCAGTGGCGGTGCTGGAGCCACTCAACCGTCGATCGTTAGACACAGTGCTACCTGCTCCGTACATCATACTGTCGGCATAGCTCGTTTTTCGCTCTGTGCCCGCATCACTTTCGATGTCGCTGCGGTTCTCATCCTCTTCGGGGAGCCCCTCGTTCTCTTTGTTCAGCACAGAGCTTCTGCCACCCCAGGAAGACTTTCGGTCGGAGATGTTGGACTTCACGGAGTGACTGCGCTTCAAGCTGGCAAACCCGCTGCTGACACTAGACTGACGATCAGTAGGACCGCGGTTGCCAGTCATGTTGCTCAGACTGAGGATTCGTCTCTCCTTGCCGTCCTTCGTCGGGGTAGCAGCGCCAGCCTGGGACGGTGCCTGAGACCGCTTCCTTAGTGCCATGCCAACACTGCTGCTCAAGATATTCCGAGCCTCTCGCGCAGTGCTAGAATTGCTAGCCGCACTAGGACCTCGAGCCCGAGAGCCCCGCGACTTCTTCATGTTCAGACCGTTGTTTGGCCGACTGAGCAAAACACTGCGAGCGTGGTCGAGAACACCTTCGAGGATACGCTTCTCCAGGCTGTCCGCACGGTCCTCCATGACCTGCATCTCCTCGTGGCGGAGCTCGAGAGCCATCTCCAAGCTGGAGAGCTCCTTGCCGAGTTTCGTAGTCTGCTTAACAAGGTCCTCCTTCTCGGCCTTCAAGGTCTGGATCATCTTCAGAAGAGACTCCTTCTCATCCTTGAGGTCGACAATTTCGGCTTCCACTTGCTCTTTCTGTGCGTTTCTCCTCTCGAGCGCAACCGCGGCCTCTTCCGCCTCGCGGCGTTTGCGTTCGTTGTCTTCGGCTACGATTGCGGACTGAGCGGCAAACATCTCGGTCATCTTGCGGGACGTCTCCATGATATCCTTGTGCATCTCGTCCAGCTTCATCATCTGCGTGACGGACTGATCGGTGTTAGTTGCGTGGTCGATGAGGGTATCGAGCTTGTCATGGATTGGCCCGTTGTTCTCGGCAGCGTGGTTGAGTAGCTCATCCAACTTGTCATACATCTGACTATTGGTGCTGGTCGTCTGGCTGAGGAGCTGATCAAGTTTCTCGTGCACCTGGTCGTTCGTTACCCGCTCAACCAAAATGTTCAGGGCTTCCTGCACCTTTTCATTCTTCGCATGATGCAAAAGGTGGTCTAGCTTCTCCTGGACCTTGCTGTCATCGTACTTTTCGGGCTCCGGGGGTGGTAAAGCGGGGAGCATCTGGGGAATAGTCGAAGGCAGGGCAGATAAGTCCGTCTTGATGGCCTCAGCAGACTTCTGCGAATGATCGTAATGCTGGCCGACAATGTTGAGAATCTCCTGGATAGATTCCAAGACCTGCGGATGGAACTCATGCAGCTTGCTTTCCACACGATCAGTTGCAGCCGCAGCCCGCTCAATGTCGGATCGGGCCTGTTCCTGCTGAGTCTTCACTTCGTTGTGCATCTCTTCCATTTTGTTGTAGGAGACATCCACCTTCTCCAAGAAGGACTTGGTGTCCTCAGTGATGCGCTCACAAGCCTCATTGACGCTGTCGCCCATGGTACCGATAACAAGCTTGATGTCCTCCGCAAGAGATTTGGTATTAGTTGCAGCTTCAAGGTGGGCGCTGTCACGTTCGACGGACTCCGAGAATTTTGTATCCATCGCAGTCTGCATGTCGTCGTATTTGGCCATGACTTCACCCAGTTTCTCGTCGATCTTCGCTCCAAGCTCCACAATGATAGCCGCTCTGGTCTCGTCCTGCTTGACAAGGGAGGCGGCGTCGCGCTCCTCTTTTTCGAGCTTGTGCGCGTCCTGTTCACCGCGTGCCCGCTCGAACTCGCGATTGATGAGTTCTGTCAGTTCCTTAACATTTTCAACTGTCGTAAAACTCTCCGCGGAGACTGCTAAGCCTTCCAGAAGCTGCTTCAACTCAGAGAGACCCTCACTACTTCCGTCCAGCTTGCTTTTAAGCTCATCGCCAAGGCCTTCGACCACAGCCTTGGCCTCCTCGATCTTCTCAGCCAGACCGGCGTGTTCCACTTTACGGGCCTCAAACCCTTGGGCTGTCAACTCATTCTCAGCCTCCACCTTCTCCCTGAACTCGGTGACCAGGGCCGATAGATCCTGAACCTCCGTCTTCGTAGGCAAGGTCTCCGGGTCGGGAAGCTTAAGCTCGTCGATTTGCGTC